AGATAGATGTATCCTCAGGACACTCCAGGTACTAGGAGGAACTGACTGGCTACTTATTCATTAAACAAATATTTATTGAGCACTGTGATAGGTGATAGGGATAAATGGTGAACAAAATTGATGCAGTTACGCTTTTCACTGAGATTACAGTCCAGCTTATTTAGAATCAAAGAGCAAAAGTAAATCATCACAATCTAATTTTAGAGCCTTGAAAGTTATGAGCATGTTGATAGTTCTGCCTGCTTAGCCTGTTAATAATCTAGTCTGAGTCTTGTATCCAGGACCGCTATTTGGTTCCCATTCCAGCATACCTCTACTGATTACTAAACATGCTGAAATATCTCCATGCCAATTGGTATGAAGCTGCTATCCCCAACCTTGCAAGTCCTCTCACCATGGGTATCCTGGTCATTCTGACTCCTTCTTTGGGAACCTTGTATCTTCTTATCATCCAGCAACTGAACAGACAAAGAGGCTTTAGTACCCAACTCCAATCCTACCCAGGACACTTCTTATTCATTAGAGCTGTTAAATATTTTGACCATCACTTCTGCTTTTTTCTACTTTAGTATTGAGATTCCAATTCCAAAACCCTGTTAAGTAATACTATTATTCTTAGACTTTAGCCCTGTTTTTATTGCAGCTACTAAGTAAATGAAGCTGTATTCATGAACAACAAATATGGGATTGCACCTTCCTCTTTGTCTCTTTTTTTTATTCTCTCTTGCTTTCCTCTGACTCTTTATTGCTGCATTCTTCTCTAAGGCCATTTGCTTCTTAATAGATTACCCAGGTGCATACTAACTTATAGAATTATGGCCTATTACCTGTTGACCAAATTGAGGTACTTGAAACACTAAAGAGAGGACCTCATTGTGGGTGTTGTACCTTGATTACCCTGAATACTCTATATTATTCCTGTTTTATATGTTGTCTCAGACCTAAAAGCTACTGATATTGCGTTGTGTTTCGTAACAAAAGAGTGATTTCTGTTTCAGCCACTGATGAGTTATACTGTAAAGCTTAACTACAAAATAGGTCCATGCCCTGGTTAGTGTGGATCAGTTGATAAAGAGTTGCCCTGCGCACCGAAGGGTGTCAGGTTTGATTCCCAGTCAAGGGCAAGTACCTGGGTTGCAGGTTCCATCCCTAGCTCTGGTCGTAGTGGGTGCGGGAGGCAACCAATCATTGTGTCTCACATCGTTTCTTTCTCCCTCTCTCTCTCTCTCTCCCATCCCCCTCCCTCCCTTCCACTTTCTCTTAAAGTCAATGGAAAAACTATCCTCAGGTGAGGATAAATAAAATAAAATAAAGTAAAATAAAAATAGGTCCATATCCTGAGAAGATTGGCTATGTATGTGAAGTTTCTTAAGTGTCTATTATAGAGATTTATCCATGTAACTGAAGATTTTATTACCTACTAAATGCCCATCTACCTATAGGTAGAATGCTATTATTAGTCATTGTCATTCTGTAATATGAATAGCTACCATTTTTAGTATCTATTATATGATAAACACTCTACTAATCTTTACTCATTTAATTATTTACATAATATCAGATAGGTAATATTATTATCCCAATTTTAGACAAAGAAAATTAAAGTTCAGAGATGTTAAAATGTTTTACTCAAGATCATATAGTTACTCAGAGTAATAATCAGTATTCCAATGAAGTCATTCTGACATCAGAACTTTTGCTGTTACCCTAGGGCAGTGGTCGGCAAACTCATTAGTCAACAGAGCCAAATATCAACAATATGATTGAAATTTCTTTTGAGAAGCAAATTTTTTAAACTTAAACTATATAGGTAGGTACATTCAACTTTAAATGCAACTTTAAATTCACTGTTTTCATCTTCCGTTTTTCTTTGCTTCTTCTTTGTAGCCATCTCAAACAGGGCACCTAAAAAAAATGTTTCATTTTATAATAATAAAGCCACCAACACAAAAGAATTACAATTCTTAAATTGATGACAAAAATACCTATAGGATTTGCAGCTGGTTGGAAAAATACAGGTAATTTCATGCTTCGAGTAGGTACTTTTGTCACCTGCGCGCGATTTGCAGATGTGACTAGCACTAACCACTGCACAATGAGACTGCTGAATGACTGGCTCACTTAACTCCTGCATGAATCATGCTCGCCTCCCCCAAGTGCTGCATATCCGCGGCCCTCTGAGCCGCCTCTCCAGTTGCCCGACTGACTGACACCCCCCACTTCTTCTAATGCCACTTCTTCAAAATAGACTCGCCCAGGCCGAAAACCAACTACTGCGCATGGGCCACGAAGTTTCAATCGCACTGTATGTGCACACCCGCACGTGATATTTTGTGGAAGAGCCACACTCAAGGGGCCACAGTTTTCCGACCACTGGTATAGATGAAAAATATAGGCAGTGCCACGATGTTTCAATTGCACTGTACATGCG